GTTGGCTTCCTTGCCATATGTTTCTACTGATATTTACATGTGCAGAAATCTATTTGCTTACAAATATAGTTTTCTATATATTAAGTTGTCATCCTCAGACTATGCTCCCCATTTTGTTAGGGGTAGTATTTAAAATTATTTTTTACTTCTGCATGTTTCATTGTTGAAGAGCTGAATGATGATGAGCTTGTTTAAGAAAACAATTTTCTTCCACTTTCTTTGGCTGAAAAAGCTGTTCATAAAGAGCAAGGTCTCCATTTTCCACTCCTTTAAGGAGGTCTTCAAAAGAAAAAAAAAATACAATGCTAGTAATTAAGATTTTGGAATTGAGATGAACTTTTTATTTGAGAGTGGTTCAAAAGATAGTTCTTAGTTTCCACCGATTGAGAGCTGGATGTGCAGACTGGTGTTGTGATAATGTAGTGGTATGACAGCCCTTTCTGGTTCACTTCTTTCCAATGACACACTGCAAATGATTGCTACAACAAATCTCTCTGCAAAGCATGTTAGCATACATATGCCACTGAAAACCACCTTCAAATAATACAGTCCATATGCAAGCTGTATTCAGGTTTTTTCTTCAGTCACAGTTAGTAGGCAGGCATCTGCGCAGGAGAGAAGACTTTCCTATTTTCATTTCTTAGTTTTCATTTTAAAAGTAGATTAATGATAAAGCTCACATTTCTAACAGCCAAGCTGATGGAAACTTCCTTTATATTGCTTCCAAACTACCAAACAGTTCTGGACTGCAGTCCCATCTCTTCTAGCACCATATATAATGCTTACGAAAAAGCCTGGCAAATCTTGATCATGAAATGCTGCAGAAACAGATGGCACACACCCAAAATAGAGGATCACACAGTTGAAAGAAAACCTCACATTGGTGAGGTTTAGATGCAGGAAAAGTAGTGAGGAAAAAATAAGGTAGTATAGAGCTAGCAAGTGGAACTAAAAGGAAGAAAAGTAGAGAAATCTTCTTCTGTTACAAAGGTATTTGGGCAATCACTGATAAGCAATAGTGCTCTTAGTGACAGCTAAATCAGATCCCAGAAAATACAAATATATAGAAAGAAACTTGAAGGGAAGAGAAAAGGAAAAAAATACATTTTCTCTCCCTGCTTTTTTTCTTTTTTAATTAAACAAATATAGAAGGAACTTTGATACAACTAGCCTATCTTACAGTCCCCAGGGTAGCATCAAACCTAACTGTACAGCTGATTCTGAAAAATGTAACAAGGTTATGTATGAAGTAACAGTCACACCCTCTGGGACTCTTACAGCACTGCTGTCTTTGCTGTGTCACACTTTCCATCATTTATTTTTCCCTCCCATTAAATCAATTCTGATCTCTTAGATTAATCAGGATTGTAAAAACAGACCTAATGTTGCTCTCTCGGTTTTTTATTCTTTTCTATTATTCCTCACATACAAAGGAATCAGTAATTGATTGCAGCTTGCTGTGGCAATTGGGCTTAAGGTCAGAGAATTCCAGTAGATAGATACCAGATTATCAGGACAGCCTGACACCTCTTAGAAGTTAGCTGCATATTTTCTGAGAATATTATCACTGCCAAAAAATTCTCCCTTTCTCTATATAAACCTAGTACACTGTCAGCTGAAGATTTTGCAAGAGAAAAATAATTCAATAAACTTTCTATTCAGAAGAGTTCATTTCAAGGTATATATATGTCACTGGCAGAAGATTAAATATACAGTGATATTTCAGCAAGCTTGTTATGTCTAGATATGACATGTTTGGATGCATTGCATCAGAACACACAAAAAGAAAAGCACAATAGCTCTTAAGGAGACAAGACAATTGTAAAAAGACACTAGGAACATGAAAATGAATTGTTTTGCTTCCATTTTCTGTCATGGCTTGAAGATTTCCCTCCATAATTATTATTCACTGTAATAAATCAAAACAAACTATATATACACCTAAAAATGTGCCCTAAAGCACCACCTTAATCTATTTTAAAAGCTATTTTACTAGGGACAAATAGAACTAAATGGCAGAAATGAAGAGATAGTCAGATCATGAGCAAACAGTACCAGATCTCACAGATGATACATTTTTAGATAAGAATGAACATTGGTACCAGATGGAACATTTGAAGCCCAGCAGCACTGCAAAGTCACTGTGCATAGCAGCTTCAGGAAAAACAAAATCCCAGCACTTCAGAGGTGTGAGTTTATTTATTCATTTGAGGAAATGAGTGGGAGGGTGTTGGCTGTTTTTTTGGTTGATGGTTTTTTTGTTTGTTTGTTTTTCATTACCTTTAGTCTAAATTCATTTTTCAAAAGGTAGCTTTGTACCCTAGCAATACTGAGTTTCCTTAAACAAAGACAAGGAGTAAAAGAATGCACACCACTCTCTTTTTCACCCTGTCTGCTTCTCTTCCACTGAACTTGCTGGCTATCCAAAGTTCACAAGAAGCTCTAAGGACAGCTCACCACCCAGCTGACAGGTAACTGTGTCCCCATGCTGACTGTTCAGTCCGAGTATAGCTAAATTCAAAAGGGGCATGTGTTAATTCAAAGGAACGCCCAAACCCAGTGTTCCCATTACAGCAATGGCTGCAGAAAGCTATGACTGAAAATAAGAATGAATACCAGCAAGATAAGGGGACAGAGCTCATTTCTGCTCATTTTGGCCAAGCAGATTAATTTACATTCAATTCTTAGTACTGCAAAGATAATTTTTAATTAGGATTGCAAATATCTAATAAGAAGTATCAAGGTCAGTTGTTGGTTTCTATAACTTCAGATACGTATTTATGCTGCCCTCGCTGATTTAATTTATTCACATGGATGAGAGAAGCCCCATTTTCCCCAGAAATTACACTATCAATTGTATTTAATAAAGTACTGTAGATGAAAGTTCATAAAAGTTCTTCTACTGACTATTTAGATCAATTTCGATTACATTATTAGAAAATCAAACAGATGTCATTTCTTGATTAAAGAATTTCAATTCAGCAGTATAACAGTTAAGTTTTGAAACTAATCATACACTAGTAAACAAAAACACTCTTTGTCTAAGTAGTAGTAGAGGATACAGTAATGTAATATTTGCAAAGACAATTTGATTTGTAATCACCAAACTATCTGAGGACTAGCATGTACACAAACAGTAGCTTTTCCCCTTTGTATAAGGGGAAACCTTCCAAATCTAAACATTTTCATCTCACTTTTCCTAAACAGTCTTTAGGATTATGCTCAGATCTGTCCAAATATTTGAATAGCACATTCCTCAATGAAAGTCTAATATTCATTACGAACATCGAGCACCCCTGCCCTGTACCCATGTACAACTTGTCTGCACACAAGTGTAAAGCCATTAATGTCAATAACTTCATAATAATTATGTATTTACAAGAAATCTTTCTATCTCACTAATTTTATTATTTCAGCAGAACAAGATGCTTCAAGATAACAATGTTTTTGTATGGGGATGAGGAACTTGGTGGCTATACATTCTGTACATAAGCCCTGACAACTAAGGGGCTGAGATTTTAAGGTCCTTTAAGCAGCAACTTGCACACTGTCCCAAACAAAACAGCCTTCATCAACAATGACAGATAGTAATGTAACCAATAACTGAGAATTGCTATAAAGGATGGGAAGAAGCTCAAGAGAAAATGATCTCCCAAAATACTTAATGCACTGTAGGGAAGAGGGGAGTTGTTTTGTGCTGCTGTTGGCATGAGCCTAAGTTGTCATACAGCTTAAGAAATACTGTGGGCATGCAGACATCATAAGTACTATGATTTAAAGAAGTTATGTGAGTTCCAAAATTTACTGGAATGAAATCACTGAGATTTTTTTTTTTTTAATCCAGATCACAATCATTCCAGCAGAGGAAGGTAAATTTATTCTTGGACTAACTTTTCTTTGCTCATTTCCCAGTGGCGAAGATAATAGATCACATGGGGGTGAAGTAGTTCTAAATTTCTTAGCTTTAGCTGCATACAGGAGATTGAAATCACAAACAGAAGACAATTTTTTTAAGCTTATACACCTCAAAACCTGATTTTATTCAGCTCTCCAAAGTTTTAAGAACAAAAACAAACAGGTTTCACAGAACAATTAGTATAGCTTCTGCATTCTTAGTAAGGCAGAAAACAGTGCTTTGTATGGCATTTTCTATTCCTGTTTTTCAAAACTCCCAGCTCTACAAGGAATGCTTCTATGTATTACATAGCAAAAGCATTTGGTTTCGGTTTTCAAATAAAAATAACTCAAAATTCAATCATAGCTTCCCATCTTCATAATTAGTTTTACTATTACAACTGGCAACTGAAATGCCCACGATAGAACAAATGCACTCTGAGACCACAATTCCTGTCCAACAACAGCACTGGGATGCGTAGGATTTGCACCCACGTGCAGCCAGCTTTCCCCTTCAGTCATGTCCTTAATTATAAGGAGCATTTCTCCCAGTTAATGACATGATTTCCTATAGCAAGCGCCTCATTTTGATATAAGCACATATTCTAACCGTGACTACAGAAACTCTGCAAAAACATCTCATCATTAAAGGTATAAAACTAAATGAGAGCACAAGTAGACTGATTGATTCCAAAGCCTGGCACTAGAAGTCAAAATCTTAAAACGCTTGCACCTTTTGTGTTACAAGTTTTCCATTCTTCACATATAACAATTATTTTTTTTTTATGTATGTGAAGACCAAATATCTGCAGCTGTCAATAATACACCATGTGATTTATACGGACAGGAAAAAAGAAAAAAAAAAAGTAAATTAATCCTAATGCCTGTGACTAATACAGCATTCTAAGCAAAAATACAAATTTCCATGTAGTTAAATGAACGTTTCTGTGGATATGTTTGTTGCAGATTTCCATTTATGACAAGTGTTTCCATTATAATCTATGTTGCACTCAGATTACAGATATTTAGCTATCATAATTATTGTACGCAATAAATAGAAGAATATTCAACATGGTAATATCAGATTTTATGTATTAGGTACTTACTGTTAAGGGCCATAATATTATCCGTTCCTGGATGATGGAAGTTTATTCCCATACGCCCTGTAATACAAATAGAAGCTATTTTTAATGTTTTTTATTTCAAAATTGCATGCAATTTATTAACACGATAAATTGCTGAAGTTGGTGAATAGTCAGGGTAGCAAAAGCCTCCATCTACTGCAGATAACTCCTCAAGATTACACTTTTAAGATATGTAACACTGTAGAATCTCCAACATTATGTTCTTAAAATACAGAAAAGTCACAGAACAGTGAGAAGTATTTATTTAACACACTCTTTTGCTTTGTACTAGATAAGTATTATATTTACTCTTTCAAAACAAGGTTTCAATGCTCAGCCTTCTACTTGCTGCAGTTTATTATAGGCTTCAAATGGGAACAGCATTACATAAGCACTCCTTAGTAAAAATAAGTCACAATTTTCCATACTACCTGTGACACCAGGAACAGATCACTGGTGGCTGGAATGCTTATGCTGCAACCTGCTATTACTCACTGTTTGAGATAAGATACTGTGTTGGACAAAGCTTTGCTCTGCTGGAGTACAGAAACTCACCTGTACTTTGAAAAGCATTTTTGACCCATAACATGGAGCCATGACATACAGCAGGCTCATCAAGAAATTCAGGTGTACTCTGCTCGTGACGATAGTCCCAGAAGAGAGAGGCAAAATAGTACTAATTTTAACAGTTTAAAGATTGGCTTAAGAAGATTTTCACTGACTATCGGAACTGGGGATGGGAAACTATTCAGATATTTATCTTGTTTTAGAGGAGAATTAGATCACAAATTTTTTTTTTTTTTTTTGACAGTAAAAATAGAAAGAGCTAATTTGATAAATATTAAGTAGTATTAGAAACTAAGACCAATCTTAACTGAGCTGAAGCATTAAAAACATACTCTGAAGAAACTTTGTAACAGGAATTACTACAGGAACCACCCACCACCACCACTGCAATTAGAAAAATATAATTGATTTAGTCATTGGTTGGAAATGGATTTAAAAGGTTATTACAGTCCTGTAGAAAAATATTTCCATTACAGATATCAGCTACCTACAAGCATTGTTATTATGTGCTCTGTGTATCTTTAGATTTGTGGGTAAGTTTAGGAGCCAAAGTAGAAGGCTTACATTTATTCACTAAGTTGGTACTCAAATATAGGAGTTTAAGGCCGCTAACTAAAGCAGCAATAGAAACCAGGAAGTTCCTCCAGTGCAAACTCTTTTCTCTACTACTACAAAACCAAGTTCTAACAAAACGCTGTGACAAAATAGAGCTAAGGCAGATCTTCTACAACGTTTTTAGCTCCTATCAGTATGTTAAAGCTTTCTATTTCAGGTCACAGAGACTGCTGTATTGCAATTAATACTCTTTCTGAACAGATGTAACACAAAGTTTCAGTTCAATTCTGAAACTAGAGTCACAAGCAGTTTAAGAAAAGCAAATAAATCTTCACGTTATCATTTTCTCATTCTTTTACAAAGAAGTCCCCCACAATAAGAGCATAGTGAAGGAAATGGCACCTACAGAAAGGTGTGGGAGAAAAGGCAGGCAAATAAAATTTCCATTTTACTTTCCAGCTCCTTGAGCAAAGCTTCTTAAAGGGATCTTCATTAACTACTTCAGATTTTCTCATTACAGACCTAATCTTTTATAGTTCACAATATATATATTCACATTAATCTGGCATTGCTGAAACATTAAAGCTGCTGTTAGTTCAGTTAGTATAAGCCTGTGCTAAAATATTTCAGAAATCTTGCCAGAGTAATTCCTTTTACTTAGCAGCATACTGAATAAGCGTAAGGTTACAAGTATGTTTTTATTATTATTACGAGAAAAGGCGTACATAATAACCTACATTTTTAAATTAAGTCCTGTAATGGAATAAAGATGACTGCTATGAAAAAAAAGAGAGTAGAAATCAAATGCATAATGCTTGGACGAGTTCTCAGTCCTCCATTGCTGAAGCTGAAATTCTGCTGTTTTCCCAGCTTCAGAAATAGGATCGTATCTGTGACATCTGGGTTTGGTTTTTTCTTCCCTCCAGGCAGTCACTGGACCAGGTGCTGCTTGCATGACATTTTGTCACCTGCCCTTGGCCTGCTATTTTTAAACTGTTCTTGTCAGCTATCTTATAAGAGGAGCAGAAAATACAGAGCAGCACAAGCAGAAGGGCATGTTCACATACTGAGCTAAGCAGTAGTAGGGATAATTCTATGCATCTTCAAAGGACTCCTAGTGCAAGTCTACAGAGATGTATTAATGGAACACTGTCCAAACTCACTTGTATTAAAACCATTCAAAAATGGACTGGTAGTACACCAGTCATAAGAAAAACTATAACTGATAGATGGCCTTCCATATATTAATGATATATTCCTAGATTAATGATATATTTGTAACATTTTTACTGTCTGAAGCAAAGAAGTCACAAAACTGTATAATTATCCAAAGAACAAGAGGAGAGCACAAAAGGTGCAAAAGAACTGAAATACAATTAAAAACACATACTCCCAAAGAAATATTTGGGTTAAACATAGAAATTACTATCAGGAAACTGTAGCTATTTAGGAAAGTGCATGTATGTTATCTGGACTTTTACTAACTCTATATAAGCACGTATTTCTGATCTTACTTTTTGCATTGAACACTTGGATAAAGGTTCTACTTTTTAAGGATCTGAAGGAAAAGAAGCAGAAATGCAGAGAAGACAGAGCACAGAAGTTAGGTACTCCAGCAGTTCAAAGTCATAAATAAGAGCCCTTTCCATAACAACTACCCTACTACTCGTACTCAGCATGCACCTGCCATTTTCAATTTACTTGTCTTGGTTTCATAGCTATCTGCTTAATATATATTCAATTACACACTTTTATAACCCTACTTTCTATTACTGTAGTTAGATGGCAGTAACAATCACTCTTACATATGAGTCCTTCCAATTTAAAAATACTTATTTTTTAAAAATATATTAATAATAATTGAATCCAGTTGCAGTAGTAGTAAAGTAGTTCTTGACTTCTTGCCTTTTAACATTTTAGAGCATAATGGTTTTAACCATTCTTATATCACAGACTAGTATTTTTTGCATGCCTTCTTATGTCAATAAATTCCTTAAATTCTTGTTCCTAGCAGCATTTGGAGAGACTTTTCTGGCTGCACTTCTTAAGTTCTCTGTTGCATGCCCAATATGCTTATTATGGCAGAGAACCCAATTCCTTTCTCAGGGCACATCTCAACAATATGCACTGTCTTTTCTGTATTTTGCAGGAAATAAGAAGGTGCTGTTTTTGATAGACAAAATTACTTTACATTAAACATTTAAATTCAATATCTTGTTATTTTAATGCATTAATTTTCAAAGGCATTTCAGAACTCTGTCTATACTTTGTCACTTACAGTGATCACTCTAAACTGGTGGAAATGTTTTCACTGAAGATGAATTTAATTCTAAGTAAGGAAATATGTTTAAGCTCAAATTTATACAAATAATTTATTTTTACATGCTCCAAATTAATTTGACTGCATAAGTACCAAAGACATGTTTTGTTTGCCTTCATCTACCCAGACTTAAGTACTTGAGCTAGTGGTTTCAGATTCCCTAGGTAATTTGTTCTTCCACTACTCTACTATACGGAATACCTTGATAATTGCTTGTACAGGGCTTGAAATAATGCTGTGTCACCAAAATAATTTAGATCTAACTTATTAAATCCTGAAATACTTCTGATATGCAAGTTCTTTGTTCTTTCTTGGAAAACATTGTTATCAATTACAAATAGAAGAGACTGTCTCAACTCACAACTACAACAATATTTGTATTTTTTTAGTATGTTTTTGCATATAATGTCGTTCCTGCTGTTTAACTTCATCCCATTCTCTACATAAAAGCATAATGATTTTGAAACAGTTCCAAAATCTTTCCAATAATTTAAAGTATAACTTTCACAAACATGTCATCCTTTTTTTTTTTTTTTTTCATTATTTAGATAAGTCTGAATTACATTATTCAGGCAGTATTCAAAAATACAGTTTTGAGAAAGAATGTTGCTCCAGAAGTAATAAATATGTATATCAGGCATGGTTTTTGCCACTATTACCTTTTTTTTTTTTTTCTTTTTTTCTCTCCAGTGTCCAGAACCAAGTATGCCTATAGAGGTTTCCTTATTATCAACTCTAAAATTCGCTACTCTTAGAAGACAGTCAAGCTCATGAGCATATCTTTACAACTGTGTAAATCTGATCTTTCATCATCATATTATTTTCCTGTGTCTGAAATAAACACCAGTGATTAAGTTCCAGAACTGTAAGTATTTCACTTCTTGAATTGCATTCATTTTCTCTTCCTAAATGTGTTATGTTTTTCTTTGAATTTTGAAATCCTAATTAACTCCTGGATGTGCACGTTTACTTGGTGAAGAATTAAGATTACAGTTATCTATTTTCATCATTTTGATATAACAGACAACATTCCAAGAAGTGATGTTTACAGTTAGTTATACATTGAGTAAGACTTTTTGCTCTGTTATACCTCATGGGTTTTGGATCAGCCACTTACACCAAATTCAGCAGTTGGTATTTGGCATGAGATTTGTTACCAAATAACAAAGGCAGCCTGCTTTTAACTGGTCCTGAACTCACTGAGATCAAGAACTTCTCCTCAGTTCTTAAGATCATTGTTGATATCAGTCACAAGTTTTCACTACAGACACCAGCAGCAATGTCAAATGAAACTGTCAACAGGACAAGGTCAACTATACTTCCTTAATAATAATACCTCTTTTATTGTTCTTCTCTCTTCTATCATATGATTTCGAAGTTGGTGCCAAGATAAGGCATTACAAAACTGCAGTAGTTATTTGGAAAAACAGATAGCAAGTAGGGTAGAGCAAAGTTTAGACATAGAAGTTCAAAAACCAAACCAAGATCAATATTCCTCCTCCGACTCCTGAAACAAGATTAGACCACTGAATGCATGTGAGTCAAAATAATTTGCAGCATGCACAAGCACAGCTTGCTTAACCACAAATCACAAGAG